TGTCGGCCGGGCCCGGGCCGGGAGCCGCGGCCTTCAGCCCGGCAGAGGCGCCGGGAACGGCCTGATCGCCTTTTCCCCTTCCCGCAGTTTTCCCCTGCGTGACCCGGGAAGGCAGAGTCGAGGAGCAGGACTGCAGAGAAACCCCGGGCGCCCTCCACATTGACTTAAAATGACTGAGGGTAAGAGAAGGATACAGCCAGGTAAAAGATCAGTGCATCACTGCCCTGTGGTTTCACAGGCACAAACAGCTGCCACCGACACCACTAGTGTGTTATTTTGCATTACTGATCTCCACAGGGGTTTAACTTCACATATTGTTGGTTGAGGAGATCAGGTTTATTGGAAAAATTGCATGGATACTAGTGGATTTACACAAAACCAAACTAAAACACTGGGACTGAAAAGAGGTTTGCAAGTACCGAAACCTAGAGCACCACCAGGCACCACACAATGTCAGGCTCAGCTTTCCATTCTTTCACATTGCAGCGTTGATACCCACTATAAAGCTGACTTTGGAAACAACAGCTACTTCACCAAGGTGGTTCCCTTGTGCTTCTGTTTATCTTAAGTCCTTTCCCCTGTTCAAAAGGGCAGAAGATGAAAAAAATAAACCCATTCAGTACTGTATCGATTTATCCAGCCCTTCAGTAGCACACCAACTACTTACCATCTATTGCCTGCTCACCACGGTACACACACAAAGGCACTGCCAAGCTGTTAACCACTTGATGTGAGCAAAGGTATAGAAGATCATTTCTAAGGCAATGCAACTTACCCAGCTTCTTCAAAACAGAGAAACAGAAATCTGAGGAAAAGTGAAAGAAAAGAAATGCAACACACCTGCTGCTAGTCAATGTTAAGATTTATTATTATAAGCTATGCTGTTATCAAACATTACATTTCACCTGCCAAGTTTTGCCTGGAGATGGATTCAAGCAAATAAGCAATGCTTTAAATGACTGAAGACTGTCATTAAGCTCCAGCAAGTACACTATTGGGGTTCAATCTTTTACCATCTCCTAAGCAGAATGCAAGTTCTTCATGCTTGTTAATGCTCCTGTGTAGCTGCACCACATCTTTGACTATATGCAGGATTAAAATGGCACATCCTTACATTCAAGTTACAGTGCATTTACACACAAAACCAGGGATATTTTGTTTGTTACATTCATCTCTTCCTCTGCAAAATCCATTAAAAATAAACCATGTATTAACATTCTATTTTCTGTATTATCCCCATTGTTTCAAACTCTGGTTACTGAATTTAATTTTTCATATGAGAAAACACAAGACACTTTCTGGTCCAAAACTAGTTAAGGGAAGAGGGAAAACCCAATGGAATACAACTGTATTTTGTGTACTTGTCATATTCAGGAAGATGACTAGTGGTCACAGCAATTGATGAGACAAATTGCAAAAAAGGGGGCTGGGGGAAGCCTTAGTTTTTACTCTTCTTTTTAAAACAAGACAAGGGACTCAGTAAATATTTCAACCTTTAATTTCTTTTTAAGCATCAGAAAATGAGAACTTTGATTATTTTTTTTTATATAATCACAGCTGCTTTATTGTCTTCAGTGTATGGTAACCAAGAGTTTTGTCCACATATTTGAGTGTTTATGTATGCACTTTCTCAAAATATTCTTTAGAAGCTTCTGGGCTTGGTTTGATCTGTCAAGAAAATAAAGTTTAGTTACTATAACTAACAAAGACATTACAGATTTGAAATTTTATCCAAGAAAATGCATGCATACTTTATAAAAACAATAGGTTATTTCTGTTTCTGCACTTGGTTGAAAGATGAAAGCCTAAATGATACACAAGCTCCTACTTGCACATTTTAAGTATAGAACAAATTTATCCTGATAAATATCAAGCGGGGCATTAAATAAGTAAAAAAATCTGAAGACAACTGGTGGAGAGTGCAAGTGAAATTTTAGAGTTTTAAATACAATTTGTGTCTTCTAAAAGGAAGTCAGTGATTTTCTTCACAGAAATCACACATTTAGTATCATACACATAGACCAAGTTGGTCCAAACGATAAAAACCTCAGGTTTATACAACAGGCACAGATTCAGTCAAGCACCTCATGTTAAAGTGGTTCTCAGCCCTTCAGACATGCAAAAACATGCCAGTGTTTATATTTAGAAAAGTGATATTTAGCACTTACCGTAGGGGAGTCTGGAGTCCAGTTTGCCGGGCAAACCTCTCCATGTGTTTCCACATACTGGAATGCTTTCACCAAACGGAGGGTCTCTTCCACGCTACGACCGACAGGGAGATCATTGATACTTAGATGCTTGATGATCCCATTTGGATCAATGATGAAGAGACCTCTGTAATTGAGCAAGAATTTAGGGAATGCAAGTCACATTCCAAGACCAAACACAAGAAACTGGATGAACTATTTCAGCAAGGCAGTTACTCTCAGATGCACGTATCAGAGTTATCAAGTAGCAATGCAGTGTTTGATAGATTGTTAGTGCAGTGATTAAAAGCCAAGAACCAGTCAACTGGTATGGTATTGTGAAATTACACAGTATGCATAAAGCCTATTAAATCAAGACAGATGTATAACAAAGGTAGAACATCTAATTCCACCTGCATTTCAAAGTTGAGAACTGGCATCCTTCCCATGTATTTTTGACATGAAAATCCAAACGTATTGAGTGAAGAGTTGCTTACGCATTAAGCTACTAAATTAAATCCTGCTGCATATAGACATTTGTGAAAACCAAAGTCCCAGTCTTACCATTTAATTAATTTGTCAACAAATATCATAAGTTCCTGATCCAAACAGATCAGGAACTAAAGGTCTTCAGAAAGCCTTCTACCCAATCCAATGGATCTCAGGGACCACTATTTGCTTTTAGTAATTATTCCCATGTTGCAGAAGGAAATGCACGTTTTTTTATTCTAGATAATTATGGGACTGACTGTAGTGGCCTCTAGGACACTACTTTAGAAACTTCTCGCACAGAAGTTAAGGCAGTCTCTTCTCCCTTTGGGAGAAAGGAAAAAAAAAATGGAAAAAAAGAGGGACAGACCTAAATTGTGAAAAAATTGTAAAAACACTCTTCTATCCTGCTCTTGTTTTCCTTAGTGACATGGAATTCTCCCACTGACTCAGAACAGAATAGCTGGCTTTCCCCTGCATGCATTCTCAGAGAGGCCTGGAACCATTCTCAACTTAATAGCCATGTGCCCTTTTCCTAAGGTGGGATCCAGCAGAAGAAATAACATCTTACAGTCTTCATCTGATCTTTGTGCAGTTTCCCCTGCGGGAGGGGACAGTATGGCTCATCTTGATTTAGACTGGGTTGTGTCATGACCAAGAAATCAGCAGTCATGCGTTACCTTAGTGCTATGCCAGGTCCTTCTAGCAGCACACCATAATCACGGGAGATTTGTTTTGTGAGGTCTGACAGAACTGGAATATTCATTTTGCCCAAACCACCGCTCTAGAGAAAAAGAGTAAGATTCCATTTTATTACAAAATGCTTTTTAGGATTATCCTTGAGTTGTTGGATTTGGTGCTCTTGGGGGTATACTAACAACAAAACACATTCATGCCCTTTGCTCCATGACAGGAACCATGGGGCATGGGGGGTTGTTTGTTTTGGTTGGTTGGTTTTTTTAGAGTCATCAGGAACATTTGGTTTCTTTAGAACACGAAAACTTCTTTTGCACTGAGCATTGCAGAATTGCTTATTTTGATGGTAAAAGACTACCTATGACAACAGTCATAAATTTTCAGAAAGGTTTCCCTTGTACCCTATTCAGGAGCTTTGAATACAAGAATCTGTACTGCATATTTATGCATTCAAAATTAAACAAGATGAACATGGTGGGGAGGGAAGGGAAAATAAGCCTGCATGCTATGAACAGACAAAACACAAGGCTTCTAACAGCCACACTAGGTATGTCAGGGTTCTGATGCTCTCTCTATTTTGTGCACTTTTTTTTTCCCCTCCCCCAAATCAATTTAAATACTATTTGGAGAGTCAACCAAGATTTCTTTCCGTTTTGCAACATACTGAAACTGCAACAGAGATAAGCTCTCTATCCTTGAAACAAGCCTGGAGTTTGTTAGCTTTTCTATTCCTGGCATCATCAGTAAATCATTGTGTAACCTCACCCAGACCCTGATCCTGCAAATGTTTGTCTGCAATGGAGTTCTCATACACAGAGCTTTGAATGCAGATGTCAGAGAAACCAAGGTCTTAGCTTCTCCAGGTATCAGTTTCCCATCTGTGCTGCCACAGAATTCTTTCCACCCTTTGCAGGGCGTTTTGCTATGGGCACACTGAGCAGTGCCTGACTGGCATACGCTGAACAGCTTTCGCATAAAGAGGTGAAGTCAGTCCACAATCACATTTTAGAGCTTTGAACAAAGCATGGAGAAAATTAAATACTCTTGATTGGCTCAGCCAAGCTGTATTAAACCTAGCAAACCCTCCTCCCTCCCGTTTGTTATGACGGCAAAGCTATGCACCCAGAGGCACCCTGGTCTGCGAGCACTACTGCAGACTGCTGCCCACACGACCACAAGGGTGATGACTGATGGCACAGGAGCTTCCCGCACCTTCCTGCAACACTTCTGATTCTCTACAACTAACCAAACCAGCCAGGTGCTTTATGTGATCAAAAGCGTGTATTTTTATATACACGTGAAAGATGCTCCTCTCCAGTAAAAGGCCGTCTTTATCACTTTCTTTCCCCGAAGAAAGCTGAGGAACATTCATTTGTATTGCAGAAGGAGAACCATTTCAGCAAGTGAGAGTTAACAATACAAGTGCTCCAACAAGCTGGTTGTTCTGCTTCCATTCTGAAGCCACTGCTACTACATACTGGTTAACAATAATGACCAAACAGCTGCAGTTCATTTTCTGTGAGGGTGCACACAAAGCTGACATGCTACTGAGTATTTGTCTTTCAAGATAAACATGTAAAGATACAATGTAACCTACAAGACTATCAGGACAGCAAAAGTAAAACTAAAAAAGAAACACAATTTCTAAGAAAAAGAGCAAGAAAACAAAGACTGAAGTCAGAGTTATGTCCTTGAATGTAGAAGTTGATCACTTCGCATACGACTTTAGGTAGTCTATTAAAATCAGTGTTTGCACAACTCTTCTTCTCAGGAGCTCTCGTGAAGAGAAAAACTAACACAGAAAGACCCAATTTATACCTTTCGTGGCGTATTTATCCAGGCCAGATGACAAAAATGAGAATCCACAGAAACTGCCACCACTTCACAGTTCACATCACGAAATTCATTTGCTTTGTTGCTGAAAGCCACAATTTCTGTGGGGCAGACAAAGGTGCTGGGTGGGAAGAGAGAATATAGGCTATAATGATTCTGCAATCTTTTGAGAGAATTTTTTAGAAAATACTTTCATGTCTATTTCTAGGCACTAATGCAGCAGAGCGTTTTCTTTAGCCTGCTAATTTTAACCCTGTCTCCTCAAGTTTAGTTTCAGTCAGTCTCAAAGCAACAGCCATAGCCACCTAGCTGGCACACCAGTTTTCAACTCTCAGTTCTGAACAGATTTTTTGCAGAGACAGAGAAACTGTCTCTGCTAGACATTCTCTAGACAGAGAGGTTTTTGAAACTATAAACAGAAAGGACTGCAGGTTAAATTCTCCCCCATGTGCCCAGTTACACCAAACTTGAGCAGAACTGCCCAGGATGCTTCTGATGATTCAAGTCTTCTGGACAGGCTCAACCCCATTTGTTCACCTTTAGCTCTGGAGCCATTCAGCTGCAGTTCTGCTGGCCCTGCTGCTTAAAAGGAGAAAGTCTCCAACACCAGCTCAAACTGCAAGGTGATGCCCTCACCCCCGGGATCCGACTGTAAGAGGAACCACACTTGCAAAGCCACATCTCCTGAAGCAGTCTTGGCAGCTAGAAGATGCTCTCCAGCCACCAGATCCATTGCTTTAGCACACACAATGGCCATTTGCCCCCAAGCCTTATCACCCACGCTCTAGGAACAGACACATCTGCCTTGCAAGACTAGCCCGGATAAGATAAAACCAGCCGCTTTAGACAGCGATGATCTGCAGCAGCAGTTCTGATGACCTTCAGCAAGGCAGGAGGCCCATCCGAAACGGAGAGAAACCCGCACTCACAAGTCCAGGGGGTAGAAGAAGAGAACCAGGTATTTCCCCTTGAAATCATCCAGGCTCAGCTCCTTGAACTCTCCGTTAACAACAGCTGTTCCTTTAAAAAACGGGGCGTGTTGTGTAACCGCTGGAGCAAACTGCGAGGAGCCTGTGGGGGAGAAAACAGCTGCGGGCTGAGCCGCCGCGGGCTGGGCCGAGCCCCGGGGTAGGGACGGGCGGGCTGTCTCAGCCCCCTCCTTCTCCTCCCCGGCGCAGCCCGCGGGGCAGGTGGTCCGGG